CGGCACGGACTGCGACCTGCCCCTGGCCTCCCCGCCGTTGGTGAGCATCGCGGGCGCTGGCGCGCCCCGGGGCCTGTCCGCCAGCATCGCCGCGGAGGCCGCTTCGTCCTGGGCGCTGGCGCCGCCGAAGAGCCGGAAGGCCCAGGGCATGCTGAGCAGCTCGGCGATGAGGGAGCCGCACAGCGTCTTCCAGTGCTCCTGGAGGGGAGAACAGGGCAGCACAGGCACACTTCTCGACGTCAGTGGCACAGCGTCCAGGCGCAGAAGGTCGGAGAGCGGGGCCACGAGCGCGCGAAGGGCCCACTCAGAAGCCAGGAGCAGGGACCCCCATCGAGGGGATCTAACCGTGCCATGCGCACGTCTGGGCGTGGGCTGCGGAGGCGAGAGACGGAGGAAACGAGGCGGTGCCAAAAGGCCAGCACCGGCAGCACGAGCGGAGCAGGGCGAGGCGCAGGGGCAGCACAGGCATGACCGATCGGGGCGAGCACGAGCACACACAGACGTTCGGGGCTCCGCTCGGCTTCCTCGGATTTCCGCTGCCCCTGGCTTTCGCGCGCCAGGATGGGGGGGGGCAAGTGGAAGGCAGAGAAGCCACCCTCATAACGAGCACCCAGACAAGCGAAGCCTTGGTAGAAAGCGCACCTAAGAAGGGGATCGAGCAGGGCATGGTTGTTTAGCAAACGACCAGGGCAGTCCAGAAAACGCCAAATGTGGGGGTCGGGGGTGGTTTTTCCTTCCTTGACCTAGCGCCGATCCAAGAAATCTGCGCGGAGCTCCGACAATTTATGCTCAAATCATTGCTTCTTCTTCGAGCTCCTTCATCAGGCCCTGCAGCTCCGCGTCCGCGCGCCCTGGCAGCGGGTTCCTCTCCGGCGGCAGCGACTGCCACAGGGCCACCACCTCCAGCGAGGGCAGCCTGTCCGTCTTGGCGAGGTCCGTGGCCGCCAGCAGCATGTAGCAAATCGCGTCCGAGACCTCACAAGCGGCGAACGTCTCCGTATCCGCGCCCTCCGGTCTGGATTCCCTGGCGCGCTCCCGCGGATACGCGGTCGCACGTATACGCTCCGCGCGGGGCGTCCGTGAAGAAACGCCCCGTATCCGCGGGGTCGCGGTCCAGGGGCCCAGCCCGCGAGGCCGAGGATGCGGACATGTCTTTCGCCCACTAAGATTTCTGTGGCAACTCATGGGAGCCTCCCATGCTATCTTGCTGGCTCCGGCGAATCGACATGCACCGAAGCTAATCGACGCCAATCGACGCTGAATCGGCGCGCTTTCATCGATTCGCAGACGCTGGCGCACGCCAGTGCACTCCAAGATTGGAGCTGCGAGGACAGACAAGGCCCCCATGAGTTGCTGACCCTGAGCTCCCAATAAGAACCCCCTGGGGATAAGAAGAAGGTTCGGGGTCCAGCGGGGATAGTAAACGCTATCCCGGAGATCTCAGCATACTGATGAATATGATGACGGTGATACTGCTCAAGATGGTCCTGAACATTCAAATAGGTACTTTAAAGAAAATGCTGCGGCTGATGGAGAAGACCAAGTTGCGGCTGATGGAGAGCGCGCTGGAGGCCATCTCCGCGCACGTGCGGTCGCGCTTCAGGACCTCCTTCAGCTGCAGCTGCATGTGGTCGAAGACCTCTCGGCGAGCCAGGGCGGCGCGCGGAGGGCTTCGTTAAAGGGGCCCCAGGACACACAAATAAATACACACAAATATAAATATTCCCCATGTATTTCCAATAGTTTCTAGGTTTTAGTCCTCCCCCCCACTTCCCATATTTTCCCATATTTTCCTGGGATTCGACGATCAATTGTGTCTGTGTGTTTTTTCTCCTCCTGATTCCTGGGGGCGGGCGCCGCGGCCTCCCCAGGGAAGCAGGGGGGGGCTTCTCGGAGGCCCTTCCAGCCATCTGAGCAGCCTTCCGTGGGGCGCAGAAGAATCTACGTGCTGATCGGGGATGGACAGACCTCCCTTTAGTAAAACGTGGTTTAGTGAAAACGACCTGAGGCCCAAACCTGGCGGGCGCGAGCCTGGAAAAGAACGGCCGCGGCGCCCTCTCGAGGACCGAAAAAGGACAGCTCACTGATCGACGCGTCACTGTTGGGGGTTCTGTCCACCCCCGAGCTGACACTGGAGGCGCAGCTCCGACACGAACAGACAGCACAGCACGCGGATGGGACAGCGCACCGACTCCCGCGCGGGGTGTGGCCAGAGAGGCGCCTGCCACGGAGCTCCTGCTGTGAGGTGTCCGGGCGGGCGCGTCGTCCTTTGCGGGGCTGACGCGCACAGAGTGTAAGTGCGGTGGAGGCCAGTCCACGAGAAAATGTCCGCAAGAAACCCAACCCCGAGACCCCAGGAGGTCCTTTGATTTTTGGCGTGGGAACGTCTCGCTGTCCGTGGCAAAACCATCGAAACCCAAGAAACCCCGGGCACCCTGGAGGCAAGCAGGGAGTTTCTTGGCGTGGGCCCCACTGTATGCTTGAGCAGTGCCGATTGCTTTCTCGGATCGGCACTGACCCCCCTCCCTGGCGAGCGGAGCCTGCCAGGGGAGGCGCCGTTGGCTTCGCCAGGGGGGGCCAGCGCCGATCCAGGAAAACCGCGCGGACTTCCGAGAAATCATGTGCATGCCGCTTTCCATGCGTCGGTTCTTCGAGGCTTCCGACTCCTTCTGAGCAGCCCCCTGCCTTCTCACAGGGCTACCGCGCTCACCCTGACCCCGCTGCGCTGAGGGGGAACGCCAAGGGAACTGGCCCAGGGAGGGAAGCATCGAGCCAAAATCATCGATACATCGCCGATTTATCAGCGATAGACTCTCAATAGCGAATCCAGACGGTCCTTTACCCGCTGGCCTGACGGGCCAGAGGCGTGCTAAGATCTCTGGTAACTGATTCACAGAATACGCGGGGCAGCCCCTGGGTCGGGTCGGGCGAAAGGGGGGGATAGCAAAGGGGGGGTTTGAGAATCAGCTCATGTAGCTGATTTTCCCGGCGCCTCCCGGCGGCGGAGGCGGCTATGTATCGAGGAATGGGCCCCTCGGTGGGGCCGAAACCAGCTGCATGCAGCAAATTTCGTATCCACCCTTTCCCAATCCCCCCCCTTTCGTTCGGCCCGACTGGAGGTGCCCAGACGAAGAATACCCCCGCCGACTCCCGGCAGGGTCCCGGCAATGTCCCGGCAAGGTCCGCTTAAAGATGCCGGAACTGCGCCCCAAGAGACCCTAAGGGAGCTCCAAGAGGGCCCATGAGTTCGCATCAATAGGTGGCAGGACTCACGATGGCCCGAGTATAATCCCAAGATGCCTCGATATTGCCCCACGATGGTCCCAGACAAGCCCAGGAGGGCCGTCAGAGGCCCCTCAACAGAGCCTCCACAAGCAAAACTTCACAAATTCCGATGCAAAAACCTACATTTGTGGCACCTTCGCCTTTTCCGTCCAAGACGGCACGAGAGGCACCAAGGTCGTCCCAAGACGACCCAGGAAGCTCCCAAGAGGGCCCCGAGATGCCTCCAAGATGCCCTTAAGAGGCCCACAGAAAGCCCAAGAGGCCCCCAACAGCACTAAGAGGCCCCCAGAGGCCCCCCAAGATGCCCCCAGGATGCCTCCACGAGGCCCCCACGACGCCTCTAAGAGCTCCCAAAAGACTCGAAGAAGTGTCCTCGAGGCCCGAGAGGCCTCCCAGGGGGCCCAAGAGACCCCAAGGGGCCTCCGAAACGTCTGGCGAGCAGCCCAACAGGGCCTGAGTCCCCCGAAGCATCCCCAAAAGGCCCCAGGGGGCACAAAATGCCTCCCAAAGACCCGCGGTAGGACTCCCACGAGAAACATGACACCTCCCAAAGAAGCGTCTTGTCCACGATTCAGTCGGTGCGACGGGGAGGTAGAGGGAGCAGGAAGGCCTCCTCTTCCTCCTCCTCCTCCTCCTTCTCCTTCTCAACATCCTCCTCCTCTTCCTCCTCCTCCTCTTCCTCCTCCTCCTCCTCCGCCTCCTCCTCCTCCTCCTCCTCCTCCTCCTCCTCCTCCGCCCTCCTCCTCTTCCTCCTCCGCCCTCCTCCGCCCTCCGCCCTCCTCCTCCTCCTCGTCCTCCTCCTCGTCCTCCTCCTCCTCCTCCTCCTCCTCCTCCTCCTCCTCCTCCTCCTCCCTCCTCCTCCTCCTCCTCCTCCGTCTCCTCCGTCTCCTCCTCCTCATCCTCCTCCTCCTCCTCCTCCTCCTCCTCCTCGTTTCGTTCACCACGAGCACACTAACATATAGCATCTGTCATCCATTATGGCCCCGCGATATTGCATGTGTTATTCCATATGGGCCCGCGAGCACACCAACATATAGCACCTAGCATTATATCGCCCGAGATCCGCTACACTCTGTAGGGGCGCAACATGGCCGAAAATACTCCAGAAATACTAAACGGCATATTTGTGATAGCGACGTTCGGATACTAGAAAAAACATTGAAAAAAACTCAGCTGATTATATAATAATATATATAATAGCATGCATACTATGATAATAAATTGAATAATAGAGATACCATAATTTGCATATACACGCAACCGCACGCGGGGGCGGAAAAACCCTGGGGGGGACGAACGAAGAGGACCAGGAGGAGGAGGAGGAGGAAAAGGGGGAGGGGGAGGAGGAGAGGAGGAAAAAGGAGGGAGGGGGAAGGGAAAGGAGGGAGGGGGGAGGGGGAGGGGAGGGAGGGGGGGAGGAGGAGAGGTCCCCCTCCCCCCTCCCCCTCCTCCCTCCCCTTCCTCCCCCTCCCCTTCCCCCTCGCCCTCCCCCCCCTCCCCATCCCCCCCCCCCCCCCCCTCCCCCACCCTCCTTCCTCCTCCCCCCTCCTCCTCCCCCTCCTCCTCCCCCTCTTCCATCTCCTCCTCCCGCCTCCTCCTCCCTCCTCCTCCCCCCCCCCCCCCTCCCCCGACCCCTCTCTCCCCCCCGACCCTCGCGCGCGGCGGCGGTGCACGCAGGGCCTGGCACTTGTTGGGGTCGCGGCAGGGGGCGGCGGCGACGACGACGACGGCGCGGGGGCGGCGACGACGACGACGGCGGCGACGACGACGACGACGACGTCGGAAAGGAGGGGGTCGGTCCTCCTCATCCTCCCTCCCCCTCCTCCTCCCCATCCTCCTCCTCCTCCTCCTCCTCCTCCTCCTCTTTCTCCTTCTCCTCATCATCATTCTTGGGATCATCCTCGCCACGGCTGGGTTCGCCTCGGCATTCTGGTCAGAGCGCGCTCAAGGGGAGGTCGGAGGGGCAGAAGCCCTGACTAAGTAAGCCTTTGATAAGGGATCCAGGGTCTGGAGAGCCAGTGGAAGCCCGCTTGCGCCGAGTAGCCTACACTGCCCTACTCTACCCTACGCTACATGACCCTGGGCCTACTCTATTCTACTCTACCTTAATCTACCTACTCTACCCTGCCCCACTCAGCCCTACTCTCTACTCTACGCTACTCTGCCCTAGGGAAGGAGGAGGGGAGGAGGCGGAGGAGGTGGGGGGGGGAGGAGGCGGAGGGGTGGAGGTGGAGGAGGCGGAGGGGAGGAGGCGGAGGAGGTGGAGGGGAGGAGGCGGAGGAGACGGAGGAGGTGGAGGGGTGGAGGGGAGGAGGCGGAGGAGTGGAGGGGAGGAGGCGGAGGAGGTGGAGGTGGAGGGGTCAGGGGTGGAGGGGGGGAGGCGGTGGAGGGGAGGAGGCGGAGGAGGTGGGGTGGAAGGGTCAGGTAGGCGAGGGCAGGCGATGGGGCAGGCAAGCGAGGTTAGAGGGGGCAGGGGGAGGAGGGGTCAGGCAGGGGGGGAGGGGGAGGAGGTGGGGAGGAGGGGTCAGGCAGGGGAGGAGGGGGATGACGTGGAGGGTTCCCATTTCCTTTCCCCATGTGCGACACCAGCCCGCACGGCACGCGAACGGCGGGCGGTGCTCCGTTCCCCGTTGCCTCGCTGGCCAACAGCGAGGCACCCCTCTTGCAATCATGCCGCTATAGCGGCCAACCCCGCGGTCGTGCCGAGTCGAGCTCGGCTTCACTTCATCCTCAGCGCGGCACGGTACCGATCCACGAGAGGTACTGGGAGATCGCCAGGCTGCACCTCGGCCTTGCGCAGCTTGGCCTGGATCGACGTCATCCTGCCACGGAGCTCCACCTTGTTCTTGACAAGGTCCTTATCCACGAAGCACTCGCAGAGCTCCGCGCTGATGACCTGCACGCGAATGGCCTTCAGAGTCGTCTCCACATCGATGATATTCTGCTTATCGATCTGCACTCCGAACTCCGCCGCCTTGTTGATCAGCTCATCCTTGTGAGTGTCGACCTTCCCGCAGTCCTCCGACCACGCACCGACGCTGGCGTCGCACAGGCCAGCCTTGTACAACGACAGCACCTCGTCCAAGTTTATGCACGACGACGCCTTCTCGTCGTAGTCCTTGTACCCTGGAACCGCAGCCATGCCGTCCACGAGCGTCTTCAGCTTCATGAGCAGATCCTTATGGAGATTATCCACGACGTTCGTTCCGACGCGGCTGGTCAGCTCCCTGGCAACCTCCATCTTGTCGTTGACGACCTGGCTCGCATCGGCGACGAACGAGTCGAGCAAGGCTGGCTTCATGCTATGCTTCTGCTTCTGCAATGCCCTGACGAGCTCCTTCGCCAAGCGCTCCTTGGTGGCGCCGTCTGTCGGGGCACTCTCCGCAGGGGGGTCCACGGCATCCGACAGGCTCTTGAACGCGACCATGGCCCTCCACGACGCATTCACCATGCTTCCAACCTTCGTGCAGGTGTCGACAGAGGCTTGCGGCACGTGGGGCGAGAGCGTCTCCAATGTGTCGTAGTAGGACCCATCTGATTGCTGCATGAAGCCGTAGGTGCTGTCTTCGATCGCCCCCTTGACGACTACCTGGAACAGCTTGTAGCACGACTCGCGAACATCATCAGGCAGCTCCTTGGCGCGGCAATCGTGCAGCGCATCGCGGAGGCGGCGCGCCTTCTCGGGGTGAGGGCCCCACTCCGTGATCGCCGAGCAGACGACGTCGTGCTTGGACGCCAAGTCCAGGTCCAGGAGTTTGGAGTGGATCGCCTGCGCCGCCTTCTCAACGCCCTCGTCCGCAGGGAAGAGGACCGACATCTCCCTGAACAGGTCCTTGAACACGCGCAGGACGGCAGCGGGGTTCTCGTGAATCTCATGGCTGACGCCTGCTCCAGCCGCCGCCGACGCCGAGTCCGTCAACATGCTGCAAGCCTTTACCGCCTTCTCGAGCAAAGCTGCCCTGACATCGTCGGCCGCACCATCGTAGATCCTCGCGTCCCAATAGGGGATGTCCCTCGCAACTTTCAACATGAACTCACCGTTCGCCTTGGTGGGCGGACCGCCCACTGGCATCTCCATCAGCTTCGAGTGCGACCCCTGCAACGAGCCACCGTGCTCCTGGATGGCCTTGGCGCGGTCGTTAGCCCAGTCGATTTTCTTCTGCCAGAAGTCGCCAGCGCTCGTCAACATCGCCTGGGCCGCGATCCTTGTGACGCTCTGGTTGCCCGTGGTACGCGACGCCTCGCTGTGTAGCACTTCGAGATGACCGAAGGTATCTAAGTTGGTGTCGTGCGTCAGCGTGTTGGCGAGCAGCGTCTGCACGGTCTTACACACCATGTTTCCCTGAAGGAGGCTCTCCGCGGCCATATCTCCCAAGACCGCGTCCTCGGGAAGCTGGTCCCAGAAATCCAGGGCGTGCTCGACGAAGGCCGCCACCTTCGATACTGCGGAGTTCCCTTGGCTGAGCCACTCGCTGAGGGCACGACTGAACACCCACTCCTGGAAAAGGTCGGTCACGTCGTCGTCGGTCTCGCACGCTTGGATCATCGTCACGTTGCAGGGGTCGATGTTGGCACCGTTGGACAGCTGTCCAGGGTTCGCCCACGGGGCGGTCGCCTGGAAGAACGCCTGCAAGTAGGCCTTAGTCTTCTCGTCGCTGGTCTCAGGGTCCACGAGATTCTTCCATATTGCGTCGACGTTCCTCTTGGCAAGGCCCCGCAGGGCGACGTTCGTGAGCGTCGTGCCTGCCTTCTTCAACTCCTTCCAGTCCTTCCTGAGGTCCTCGTCTACCTCGCCCTTGCACTGGGAGGGGCAAAACTTCTTCGCCTTGGAGTACAGGTCTAAGTGGATCCCCAAGTTCTTGCGCTCGCCCCCCGAGAGCTTCCCATGCAATAACCTCGCTTGGTTCTCCGCGCGTCCGTTCTTGTACTCGTTGAAGGCCCGCTCGAACCTCAGCTCGAACACCCAGTAGTCGACCGTCCCGCAAGTGTGCGGGTTGAGCAAATCATCATCCGTCGAATGTTTCGGGGTCTCCCCGCCCCTCGGATTGGCGGACGGCGTCGGGGACGCAGACGGATGTCGCTTGCAGGGCCCCTTGGCAGCCGAGCCGCACGACGGCGCAAGCTCAGGCCGTCCAGTCCGCTCGGGATCTCCGTCAATGTCAATCACATCCCCATCGCTCGGAGCTGCACCCATCATGTCATGTGCGCTGCCACCGCGCGCTTCGTCGCTGCCTGCGGCCGCGGCGGCCTCATCCGCCTCGTCACCGTCGATCAGACCAGAGCTAGCCTTGCCGTAGCGCCTCCTCGCCTTCTCGTTCAGCGCGTCGCGGCGGTCCTTGATGGCAGCGAAGGTCGGGATGCTGGAGTTGATGCCGAAATTGAGAGTGAAGGCGCCGTCCTCGTCCTTGGAGCTGGAGCTGCAGCTGCCGCTCGCGGCCCCGAGGAGCAACTCCGCCTGCCCATCAAACAACATCTTGGCCCCGTCCTTGCAGTGGTTGAGCTGCGTCCCGATGCTGCTCCGATGGAATATCTTCATCGTCGGGTACTTCAACTTCCTGTCGGGTGTCGGCATGAAAGGGTACACGATGACGCAAGAAGGCCTCTGAGCAACCTGTATGCCTTTGATGTTCAACGTCTTGGGGGACTTGCCGAACTCCTTGACGACGTCACTGGCGGTCAGCGCGCACACCTTGATGTAGAGCTCGTGCCCGACGGACATGGACTCCAACATGCTGAGGCCCTTGGAGCCCTCTGGCGGTTGCTCTGCCACCGAGCTCGGCACGGTGCCGTCGTTGAACAACGAGTCCATCATGCCGTTGTTCATGGCATCCACCGCGGCCTTGAACATCCACCCAGGCATCTCCACGAAGACGAAGTTGACGCACTGCTCGCACGCAATGTCCCCATCGACGAGGATCGCCTCCAAGTGCTCCTGGCCGTCGCCGCTCTTGAAGATCTTGATGCCGTCCTGACAGCTTGGGGGGAAAAAACCCAGCACGGAGTTGCCCCGGAAAACCTTGGGGGTCTCGGGAGGCCCCCGATTGCCCCAGGGGGGCCCTGGGGGCCCTTGGCAACCCCTGGGGGGCCCTTAGGAGCCCTGGGTTGGCGAGCTCCGCACCCCCCTTGCCATTCGAAGCTCCTTGAACCCCTGGGGGGCCGCCCCATCCCCTGGCCACTGGAGAAAAAAACATCGGGATAGGCGTCTCATCGAATTTGAAAGTGGCCCGAAGGTCCCGATCGGTCTTGTTGCACATGTCGCAGCAGATGGCGGTGGCCTTCGGCCTCCCCGAAAGTCTCGGCTCCTTCGGCGCGCGAGCGCCGCCGCCGCGACCACGACCGCCGCCTGGCCCGCTCTTGGACCCACGACAATTGCCACCAGCAGCGGCCTTCGCCATGCCGAGGTTGCCGCCGCGCGTGGGCTGCGCGCGGCCAGCCCACTTCGCATACTGAAGTTGGACCACGCAGGCTACGGCGGACCACGATTGCAATAAAAGGGACGGTGCAATAAAGCCCCTCGGGGCACACTCGAACAAAGCGGGCGCCCTCCAGATGTTGCTCAAGTTCCTGGTGGTCCTACGGGGCCTCCTGGAAGCCCCAGGCGCTCCCAAGAGCTGGTGGATCATGCAACGCAACGCAATGCAAACGCCCTGCCACGGCCGACCACGCAATGCTATGGAACCATCACGCAACTGCCGTCAACGCAATGCAATGCGCAAGTCTTGCGGCGGCAGCCGTGGTGGGCTCCTCCCCCGCCGCCCTCCTCCTCCTCCTCCTCCTTCCCCTCCTCCTCCTCCTCCGCCGCCCCCTCCTCCTCATCCACCTCCTCCGCCTCCCCCCCCCCATCCTCCTCCCCCTTCTGGACCCCAAAAGTCGGGATAATGCACAACGTCGGACATGCACGCCAAGCATGGACTCCCAACGTGGACCCCGCACGTCGGGCACGTCAGCCAACGTGGGCCCCAACGAGGACCCCAAGCAGCGCATGCTACACGAGGACCCCAAACAGTGCAAACAGCATGTTTTCTCGTCAGCGGTCCGCGCTGAAGACTGCACCAAGCCTAATATGAGGAAGAACCGCCCATGCCATGCGCTTCTAGTCTGACTCTGAATCCTGGCCCATGTCCTCTACGACTTTCAAGACGGCATCTGTAATATTGTTCAAGCTGCGCTTCGTCTTGGCCTTCGAACGCACCAGCTTCGCGTGCATCTTCTTCTGCTTTTTGATTGTGGCCTTCAGTGTCAGGATGCAATCTCTGAGCCTCGCTGGACCCTCCTCGGGCAGGACCGCGCTGCTTACTGCGAGGCCACTTGCCGCACCACCTGCACTGCCACCTGCACCCTCATTGCCACCTGCAGCACCCTGAGTGCCACCTGCAAGGCCACTTGCCGCGCCACCCGCACTGCCACCTGCAGCGCCGCCTGGATCCGCGGCGCCTCCATCGTCACCTGAGTCAGAATGAACCACTGCCAGGTCATCCCCGAGGTGGCCAACGATTTGGCTGGACATCTGCAAAGATCGCGCACCGCGAGGTCGCACCCCCCCCCCCTGGAACGCACGGGCGAGTGGAGGGTGCAAGGGGTGGTGGAACGAGCGGGGGGGAACGCCAAAAAGGCGGGTGGAGGAGGAGGAGGGGGGGAGGGTTAGGAGGAGGAGGGGGAGGAGGAGGGTTGGGAGCAGGATGGGAAGGAGGAGGAGGGGGGGGAGGGGGAGGAGGAGGAGGAGTAGGTAGGAGGAGGAGGAGGAGGAGGGGGAGGAGGAGAAGGCGGATGGGGGTGGACGAAGGGGGAGGCGAAGGAGTGGCGGAAGGGCGAGCGGGAGGTGGAGGAAAGAAGGAGGGTCGTTCCATTCCTTCCTCCCCCCCTTCGTCCTCTCATCCTCCCTCCTCTTTCCCCCCCCCTCCCCAATGCCCCAGGGCCACCCCCTGGGGCCCCAGGGCCCCAGGGCCAGCCCCCCAGGGGGGGCGCGAACACGCGGCCTCGGGCCGCAAGAAAGGGCGGGCGCGACGCCCGTCGGCGCAACAGCACTGAACCGTAGCGCTTGCAAGCCTTGGGCCGCAACAGCGGGCGGGCGCGGGACAAACGAAAGGGGCAGGGGCACTATCGGGGTCCCCGACGACGACGACGGCGACGACGACGACGGCCAGAACAACCACGGCGACGACCGCGAGGACGACGACGACGACGACGAGGACGACCACGACGTCCACGAGGACGACGACGACCACGAGGACGACGACGAACACGACCACGACCCGACGACCACGACCACGTCGTCGTCGTCGGGATCGCCCAAAGCACCCCCTCGCAACAGCATATGGTTGGGTCTTTCGCCAGGTCGCCGTCGGCCCGTTCGGGCATCTGGGCCAGCCCGTCTTCCGGGTCACCGATCCTCCGGGCTCGGGAACCGAGGGCTAAGTTTTTCTTTTGTCCGAGGCGGCACTCTGCAAGGCCGTGCATCGACTGACGTGCCGATAGAAAACAACAAATTCAACTCGCAACGACCTTTACAATGTGCAGAAGAATATCATCCTCCCTTCTCCTCCTCCCCCTCCTCCCCCTCCTCCTCCTCCCCCCCCCCTCCCCCCCTCCCCCTCCCCGCCCCCTTTCTCCCCCTCCCTCTACCCCGTGCGCCGCCCCGATAACCCGTTGGCGCTTAACTCTTCACCCATCACCGATAACCCCATAACCCAACCCGTACCCAACCCAAGCCCGATAGCCCTCACTCTAACCCGATAATCCGTAACCCAAATCCGAAAACGAGTCATTGTGAAAAACTATGGCAACGCACACACGCATTACAAAAAGCATCACACATGTTTAAGTGTTTGAACAAAAAATCTGACGCTTCGGGGGAGGAAACAAAATTACAGGGGGAGCATGCAAAAGCGAAGCGAACATGGAAACGGGGGAGCATGCAAAAGAACAAACGGTGGTGGGAGCCGCCATACCCAAGAGGGGAAGAAGGTAGGATGTTGGAGTCGTCGTCGTCGCCGCTGTCGGATAAGAAGGACGAGGAGGAGAAGGAGGAGGAGGGAGAAGGAAAAGGAAGAGGAGAAGGAAGAAGAGGAAAAGGATGAGAAAGAGGAGGAGGGGGAGAAGGAGGAGGATATGGAGTAGGGCGAGGGCAAGGAGGACGAGAAGGAGGAGAATGAGAAGGAGGAGGAGCAGGAGAAGGAGGGGACGGGGGGGAGGGATGAGAGAGGAAGAAGAATTTGTAGATGAGGATGATGAAGAGGACGGCGAACAGAAGAACCAAAAGCCTTTCAAATGCTCCTCGGAGTCTCCTCGGATGTCTTTGGGGAACGGTTTGAAGGCCTCTTGGAACGTATTGGGGGCATCGTGTCGGGCCCAAGGCTGTCTTTGGGCGTCTTGGGCGCATCGGTGATCCTCTTGGCTCTTGGGGCCTCTTGGGGGTCTCTTCGGAGCCTCTTGGGGGCATCTTGGGCGCCTCTGGGCGCCGTCTGTGCGCTTCTTCAGGCGCTCTTGGGACGCTTTTGGGGGCTTTAGGGGCGCTCTTCATGCAACCTTGGAGGACACCGATAAAAGGGGAGGGGAGATGCTGAAAAAACGTTGCCCCCTCGGGAGCGCGAAAAGTCGCCTCGCGAGGCGCTCTTTGGGCGTTCTCGGGGCGCTCGTGGGCGTTCTTGGGGGCCGTCTTGGGGTTATACTGGGCCTCTATTGTAGCCACGTTAGGCCATCTTGGAGCAACCTTGAGGCATCGGATGGCCATCGGAAACGAAAACTCAAACAAAACAATACACACTGATGTCCATTAAGCTTTTGAATGATGCTGGCAACCCTGGCCCATGCCCACCCGCGCAGCCCACGAGCCCGCGCCTCGTTGTCTTGGCAATGGGCAACGGGTTGCGCGCGTTGTGCATCCCAAACACGGGCGCACTGCTGCTGCAGTGTCATTTGGACACTGCGCATCCGTTGCGAAGCGCCGATGCGCCGCGTTGCCGCCGCTGCCGAGTTCAAGCCCTTGTGCGCCCCCATCTTCTTGAGATCGGCACCCGCCATCGAACTGACGATCTTCGCGTCGATGTCGTCGGGGAACGCATCCGCGCTACCCCCCCCCCCCCCCCGTCCGCGCGGCGAGCGCCGTGCGGCGGTCGACCGCCTGCGCCGCTTGAACACTGCTGCATATCGAAGGCCAGCTTGGGGGACAGGAGATGGGGGAACGCGCGGAGATAGCAGCGCGTGGTTCAATGCCCCCGCACCGAAAATCTCCTTGGCCGCTCGGCAGATCCGCGAGCACACTGTCGTGCACAACGACGAGTCCTCTCCTTGGCGCCGCCCCGCGTGTCTGGGGGGACCCTCCGCGCCGCTTTCGGGCACCCCGCGGCTGACGGCGCCACTGCTCAAAACGCCGCGGGCGGCTCCGCGCGGCGGGCGCGGGGGCTCAATGCGAGCCCCCATTGGCGGACGATGCGCTGCCGACCGCGTCGCTGCTCACTGATCACGCACGCCGATGGGCGTGCACCCCGCGAAGCCAGGCGAACATCATCCTTAAACCCTTTGGTCGCTGCTCCCCCAACGCCGAATGCGATCAGCTCTTGTGCCCGCCGTGCCCACGCGAACGCGCGCGACACGCAGGGCGCCCTTGCCGTCTCGCACTGATTCTCTCAACTGGAGAGGGCGGCGCACTTGGCGACCGACTGGGCCGCGAATGGAGCTTATGGCGAACGGCGGCGAACGGCGCATGATATGGAAGCTGGCGCACCATCGGGGCCGAGGTCGTTGGGCTGGCCCCCACATGGAAAAAAAAAAAAAAACACTGAGGCACGCTGGCCAGTGCTCCCCGCTTCAGTGCGGTGCAGCTTCCATCCGTCGAAGCGGCACCAACTGCACTGAAAGTTGTGGAAAGTGCCGTTATGCGCCGCGCGTGCCGCCCGTCCTTGAATCCGCACATCGCCCTGTCGATGTCGTCGTTGCGGGCCCCTTGAAGGCCGTGGCCCGCCGCGGATCGGAACGCGTTCGGCGCGCGCGCCGCGCCGTGCACCGTGGCGGCCCCTTGAAAACGCGCCGCGTTGAACGCAGCAGGCGCTGTCGGGAGGATGAACAAAAATGATGAGGAGGGAGGGGGGGGGATGAGGGGGCATAAGGGGAGGAGGAGGGAGGAGAAGAGATGGAGAAGGGATGAAGAGGGATGATCAGAGGGAGAGGGCGAGGGGGGAGAAGGAGAAGGGCATGGGGGAGGGGGGGGAGAGGGGGGGAGAAGAGGAGGGAGAGGGGGAGAGGGAAGGGGGAGGGGGAGGGAGAGGGGCGGTGACTTAAGATCGCCGACTAGTAAGGCCGCACGGCGCGCGGCTTCAAGATCCGATGCGGGGCTTTTGTGTTGGGCTACAGCGCTGAAGCTTGAAACGCAAGGCATGGGCGGCAGCGGCGACGGCGCGGGGCGGCGCACACGGGCCACTGCGGTCCACGGCGAGGACAGGGCCCCACATGGACAACCTGTTCTCCCACACAGTGCAATGGCGCGTGTCTTCGTCGACGAATGCAATCCAGTCGTCGACGGACACCGCGCCCCAAAATTGTAGAGCCAACACGTTGATGGCGCCGTCGCCGCCCGCCCGCCAAGGTTGGTGTAGCCGACCAGCTGGGTCGTGCTATGCACGACACCACGGTGCACCATTGGCTTGCGCACAACACTCTCACCTACAACACAACGCCACTATTCCACACAACGCAACCCCCCACTCCATCAACCCAAACCCAACCACTACACAACGCTTGCGGCAGCGGAACGGCATGCGGCGTCGGCGCCGCCCGCGGCGGCGATGCAAGCTGCACGGCGTCGCAGCCTTTCGTTCTTCTAGCTCTAAGATGAACTCGCGTTCCGCTTTAGGAACCCAATGCCCTCTTTGTACCTATGGACATCAATGTAGTCCTTCTTATCCACCGCCTGCCGCGCGCCTCTCGCCACCGCTCGGCGCGATGGCGCCAGGTGCGCTCGGCCCGCAGGGGTGCCAGGCGTGCTCGGCATCGGCGCGCCTGCCGCCGCAAACGTGGGCGCGTGGCGTGTCTGGCGCGCGGCCCGCAGGGGTGCCCAGCGCCGATCGGCCGCTTGGCGTACTAGGTACTAGGCGCGCGACCTGCAATGGCGGCCGCGCTGCTGCCCCGCTGCGCCACGGCCCCCAATTGCGGCACTGCGCCCGCGGCCGCACTGCTGTTGGCCGCCCCAGTGCCGCGGGCGGCAGCGGCGGCGTTGGCGACCATGGCGGCCACTGCCGCCGCCCGCGCTGCCATCGACGGCGCCGCTTGCGCTGGGATCGCTCGCTGAAGAGTGAAGAAACTATAGCTTGAACGCGACGAAGCCCAACAAATTTCAAACGCCGCGAACGGCGGCGACGTGGGAGGGCGAGGGCATTGCGACGGCGGGCGGCGAGGGAGGGGACCCCGCCAGAGGGGAGGGTGGAGGGGGCGCGGCGGTGAGGGGCAGACGTCGCGAGGGGGCGTGGCGGGGAGGGGCAGACAGCATCAAAAAAACGCATACTTTCTCCAACTCATTGCTAGAATAATTAACGTTACATACTTAACAAAAACACAATCCCCATATCAAACAATAAAGAGCTTGCTTCCAAATGAAGGATTGGGTTTAATTGTTCAAGTGGGGCTTTTTATTTTGTTTGCATTGGGAGAACAGGGTGGTGGCGAGGGTAGTCGCGAGGGGATCGACAGAACGGCCCGAGGGGGAGAGCGACGAGGCATGCACGGGAGGGATTGATGAGCGGCGGGCAAGGGGGAATTGACATATTATCGCCGCACAGAACCCAGCCGTCGCCCTGCCGATCGGCCATGGCGGGCGCCGCCGCGGCCCAGTCGCTGCGCGCGCACCGCGGCGGGCCGATGCCTCAAGGGGCGTCTTGGCGGCTGCTTGGGTGTATATTTGGGGTGCTCTTCTTGGGGCTTCCTGGTGACAGTCGGCATCTTGGGTGTTCGCGAGGTGTCGTGGGAGGGCTCTCGGGGGCTTCTTGGAAGCAGGTTTGAAGCTCACTGTGCACTGGGCGCCGTTTGGGGGCCTCTGGGGGGCGTCTCGGGAGCGTCTTGGGGGCGCCGTTGGGGCCTTTGGGGGCATCTTGGGGCGGGGTGCTCGACTTCTCGGTTCGCACAACCCTTCTTGGGGCCGTCTTGGGGCTCTTTTGGGCGGTTTTGTGCTCCTCTTGGGCCGTATTGGTGCCCTCAGGGCCCGTCGTGAGGACCTTGGGCCGTCTTGGGGCGGTCTTCGCGGTGGCGCAGGCCGCCTTGGACGCCGTGAAGGCCGAGACGCCGCGCATGTTTAACATGTATGCGGAAACGCATGAAACATACAGAACTTGTCGCATTCGGCGACGGAAGCCGCGCGGAGCCGCGGGGGGGGGGAGGGAGGGCGCGGGCTCGAAGGACAGGGCAGAGCAACGGTCGGTTCAAAGTGCGCGCGGTTGAAAACCAAACAAAAAACATAGGTGAGGAGGCAGCAATGTCGATGGCGCGCGACCGCCGTCGCGCCTTTCAATTTTACCACAGCGGACGCTTGCCCTAATTGGAAACGTTCAAAACCCATCGCGACGAAGGTGCAGCGCGCGCGGGCGGTTGAGGAGGGGTAGATTGTACGCGCAGAGGCTCCTAACTCCTAACGTCCTAACGCGTCAGCAAATCTAGAACGCATCATTTATTGATTTTTAAATGAGAAAAGCTATGAACACAATATCTAAGAAAGCGCACACACAACGCGATAGGCACACCAGTTTGACGTTGTTTGGAGTTGTTTTGGGGTTATGTTGGACATCGTTTGGACATCTGTTGAAGCTCTGTTGGAGCTCTTTTGGAGTTATTTTGGAGCTCTTTTGGAGCTCTTTTGGAGTTCTTTTGGAGCTCTTTTGGAGTTGTTTTGGAGCTCTTTTGGGGCTCTTTTGGTGATGGTGTTGTCGATGTTTGACTACCCGCGACGACCAAACTGCAAGGCGCACGCACAAACGAAAGTAAGCGCGCGCACCACTCACGCTGCGAAACTGACCACGCCACGAGGGTGCAGCACCATTCTCGTGAACGTTTAGTCGATTGCGTCATGGTGCTGTAATCCCACGGAGTATTTTCGGAGTATTTTTGGAGCTTTTTATTATCAAAAAGTTATAAAAAAAAAGTAATCCAAAAATACTCGCCCCAAAAACTGAGCTAGACCACAATGGTGTTGCACCTTTCCCAACATTATCGGAAACAGCTCTTAATGGTGTTACCCCCCATTGCCGACGCCCGCCCGAGTGCACGAACATGTAACCCTCCCTGGCCCCTCGGCCCCGTTCCCCGCGCCTCGCCCGCGCCCCCGCAGCCCGCCCCGCCGCCCCCCAACCTCCTCCTCCTGCCCCCTCCCCGTCCTCCGACCTCCTCCGTCGCAAGTTTGGCTTTTGCCTCCTCCTCCGACCCCGCCCCCCCCCCTCCGACCTCCTCCCCCTCCGACCTCCCCCGACCTCCTCCCCTCCACCGCCTCCTCCTCCGACCTCCTCCTCCTCCGATCTGCTGCACGGGGCGAGCGCAGCGGCGGGCGGTTCTCGCGGCTGCCGTCGCAGAGGCGAGGGAGCTCGGCGCAATGCAAAACGCAGTCGCCTGTAGACAGTTTCAAATCTTACCATCTGGCTCAGACGACTCGTGGTCTTTCTTATCCCTCTCCCTGCTGAGGAGACCGCGGCCGCTCTCAGTCAGCTTGAGGGCATCCCTCGTATCGCACCGATCCTTACGAGGCGGCGAGAAACTCATGCGCCTGCCTTTGGGTGCCTTGCCCCAGCCTGGCTGAGAGGCTGCCGCGAGCCAGCTTACCAAATATGCTCCTGGTCGCCCCTGCCCAGGGTGAGTTAGCATCCTACCCCGCTTCGGGGACGTTGCTTTCCGAGTCTTCCTGCACCCTGGATGCTTACTGCAAGTTGCCTCGAAAAAACCCTGCTTGTCCGCCAGCCCCCCGCTGAGGGGTGCACCAGGCATTGCTTCGTTATCGAAGCACTTGCCGTTATATGACAAGGATGTCATGGCCGAAGGAACATTGACAGCACGGCCGATGTTATATGACACGGCCGAGGTTATATGATCACCGACGACACGGCCGATGTTATATGACCACCGATGCCACGGCACACGCCGAATGATAACCGATGCCATGGCCGATGCTACATGCTTCTGCCGCTGGGCGCGCCGAGATCACGCATAGCATTGCATCTGATACCCGATCGAATAAACGCTGCGATGCTAGCATCGTTCGAACGATTGCCGCAATCGGAACTGCCGCAGGCATCAAACATAAAACGCGACCTTTCCCGTGCCATCGGGCATCACATAAACGAAATCTGCTTTGCCCTGGGGCCCAGGTGCAACAGGGGCACCAGGGTCGGGAGGAGGCGGGTCCCCTATTTGAACCGCAGGCGCTGGCGCGACAGGGGCGGCGGCGCCGCCCCCTCCATCCGCACGGGGCTCCCCTGCCGCGACAGGCGGCCGAGGGGGCAACGGGCCTGGTGGAACAAGTGGCACAGGATGCGGATCTGCCCCACCAGGCGGAAGGTCGGGCCCAACAAGCAGATGGTCAGGAACACGCGGGTGCGACCTGCCACCCGCGACTGCGCGGGCACCAAGTTCGTGAGACATGCATCTCCCTCTCCCGCGCCCGCCGTTAGGCGTTAAGTCAGGGGCCGTAAAGCACGGATGGTGTGTTGTCGTGCCGAAGATGACACAGGCAACGCAAGCCACCCTCCTCCGCCCGCCCAAATCATGTTTAGCCAATTCGATCACGGTACCTTTCTCCCCCTGGACCAGAAACACAAAACTCCCTCGCCCCCCCTCCCTCGCCAACTATTCGCATGCTCCTCCGTTCTCGTTCTCGCTCGTCCCCCTCAGTGGGCCCATCTTCACGTGCAGTTCCTGTCTCGCACTCACCCCACGCACCCCCTATCTCAATCGTCCTTGCCCCTCGCCAACTGCGTATGCTGTGCGTTGCATGCAGCGGAAGCCCTCGCACAATCTATGTGGCACAACCCATGTGGCGCAGTCTATGAGGTGAAGTATATGAGGTGCATTCTATGTGGTGCAGTATATGCGGTGCAATCTACGTGGCGCAATATGAATGGTACAATATATGAGGTGCAACCTTTGTGGCGCAGTCTACACGGTGCAATATATGTTCTATGTGGTGCAACCATCGAGGCGCAACCTATGTGGTGCAATATATTTGGTGCAGCCATGTGGTACAATCAATATGGCGCAATATATGCGGTGCAATCTATGTGGCGCAATCTAGGTTGCGCGATCTGTGTGGTGCAGTCTATGCGGTGCAATCTGTGTTGTGCAATCTGTGTGGAGCAGTCTATGTTGTGCAATTCATGTGGCGCAACCAATGTGGTGCAGTCTATGCACTGCAATCTATGTGGTGCAACCTATGTGGTGCAAACTATGCGGTGCAGTCTATGCGGGGCAGTCTATGAGGTGCAATCTATGTGGTGAAATATATGTGGTACGATCTATGCTGTGCAGTCTACGTTGTGAAATCTATGTGATGCAACCTATGTGGCGCAGTCTTGTTGTGCAATATACGTCGTCAATCTATGCGGTGCAACCTACGTGGTGCAATCTACGCGGTGCGATATACTAGGTGCAATCTATGCGGTGCAACCTATGTAGTGCAATCTATGTGGTGCAACCTATGTGGTCTAGGGTCCAGGGTCTAGGGCGCTACGCCTCCAAACCAAATTCTTAACTTTTCGGGGGCAACTTTGCAAGCTACCCCTCCCCCGCACCTCCCCCCAGCGGACCTGGCCAGGACGCCCGTCGGGTCGTCGGCACGCCCAAGATGGCCCAAGACGGCCCCAAACGGTTTCAGGTGGGCCAAAGATGACGTCCAAGATCCCAAGAAGCCCAATATGCGCTCACGATTTGCAAAGTGGCTTCCAAGATACTCCGTAAGCTTCCAGGGCCGGCCCAAAACGGCTCCAATCTCCAATCGGCTTCCGAGAACACCCCAAGGGAACGCAAAAACAAACAAAGCTTTTCGGACACTTACAGTAAGCGGTGCAATGTTACAATGTTAGACAGTGTAAGATCATGTTAGTGCATGTTGCGTCGGGGGTAGGCTCCTGTTTGGGTACACGAGTGTATGTCAACCCCCTGTGAAGGTACTGTAAAGAAGAATATAGGAGTTGGAGGGGATGTATAGGCAGTGCATAGTAACTGATAGGTTCTGTATAGGAAATGCATAGGAACTAATAGAGACTGTACATGGAGTGAATAGGAGCTGAAGGGGCGGTAGAGAACTTTAATAGGAACTGATAAGGACTAAATATTGATTGTGTAAGGTCTGATAGGGACTGTACGGGAACTGGATAGGAAGTGCTAGGGACTGTTGTTGGCTGTGTAGGAAGCGTGTGAAAATTGTAGCTGTAAAAGAAATGCATCGGAAGTGATAGAGAATGCATAGGACGTGGTTTAGAACTGTTAGGTGTTAGGGACTGCGTAGGTTTCACATAGGGGCTAACAGGGACGGCGTAGGAAGTCGATGAATGAATGATGGGGCCGCATAGGACATGTATGGGAACTGATAGGGACTGTATAGGAAGTGTGTGTGTGCAGCGTGTAAGGACTTATTGAGACTGTAAGCAATGTTACTCCCTGTAAGCAATGTCAGATAAAGTTAGTGCATGTTGCGTCGAGAGAATTCAGGAATGATTCGACGATTGTATGTTGACTCCGCTGTGCGAATGTACTGTAAGGAAGTGTATGGGAGTTGGCGGGTGATGTATAGGAAGTGCAGAGTAACTGACAGGGGCAGCCTAGGAAACGCATGGAAACGAATAGGGGGTGTACATGAATTGGACACGAGCTGATAGGGGCAGTAAAAGAATGTCTACAGGGGCTGATAGGGGCTGAATACGGTGTGCAAAGAACCAGATAGGGGATTTACGGGAACTGTTTAGGAAGCGACTAGGGACAGGCGTGGGCTGTGTAGGAGGTGCGTGACAAGTAATTGTGGCTGTCTAAGAAGTGTGTAGGGAGTGCTGGAGGAAGTATTGCAAGTGCATGGAAACTGGTATGCGTCAGGGAACGCAGAGGTTTCTAATCGTGACTGATGGGGAACGCGTAGGATGTGTATGAATGAACGATGGGGGCTGTATAGGCAATGTATGAGAAGTGATAGGGACTGTATATGAAGTGTATGAGCAGAGTAAACGTACTGCTCGGGGCTGCGCAGGAAGCGTCATGGACTTCATTGGGGGCTGTATGAAAAACGACATAGGGATTGATCGGGGTCGCGCAGGAAGCGTTTAGGAACTGATCGGTGCTGTATATGACATGCATAGGGACTAACATGGGCAGTGTAGGAAGCCTGTATAAACTGAGGAGAATTCAAGAGGGCGGGACTAGGAGCTGATAGGAGACTGTATACGAAGCGTGCAGGAACTGACAGGGGCTGCATAGGAAGTGCATGAGAGCTGATGGGGGGCCCTGGGATGTTTATAGGACATGGATAAGCATTGACAAAGTATGTGTAGGAAGTGTCTGACAACTGTTCTTGTATATGGCATGTATGAGAACGGTTCAGGACTGTTTCGGAAGCGTTAGGAACTGTATGGCGCATTGTGGCTGTTCGGGACTTTGTAGGAACTGTATAGGAATGGATGGGGGCTGTATGGGGATTTCATGGGAGCTGTGCAATGTATATATATATATATGACGCAATATATGTGGTGCAATATACGTGGTGCAATCTATGTGGTACAACCCATGCGGTGCAATATATGTGGTGCAGTCTATGCTGTGCAATCTACGTGGCACAATCTATGTGGTGCGACCTAGGTGACGCAGTCAATGTAGTGCAGTCTATGTGGTGCAATCAACGTTGTGCAACATACGTTGTGCAATCTTTGCAGTGTAGCTTGTGCACGGCCTCCGCATCACTCCTGGCTCAAAGCAGGAGGTGCGTTGGGCTCATCTGAGGGTGCGCTTCTGCTCAGTCGCTGCTCTGCGATCCCGGGACACGGGTAGCCCCGCGATGGCGCCGCTCCTTCACAAGTGGGAGGCATCAGACATCGACACGACAACCTTGGAATACAACCTCGGGCCCGTGCTCCGTCAAATTGGGATCCAAACGCGGGCCCGCGACATTTTCGAACTGTTCCAAGACCCAGAATTGGTGAACGAGCCGTTGGTTATCATCATTGCGTGCATATATCCACCAAATGAATTGATGACGCTTCGCCTATCCCCACCAGCCCATACAGAAACGCTGCCCAGGGGAGTTGAGGTGATCTGGGAAGCGGGGGGGGGGGGGGCACGCCCCTCGGGGCGCTCTTTGGGCGCTCTTGGGGCGCTCTTGGCGGCTTTACGTGCAATATTGGGCCATGTTGGATGTCACCGATAAGAAGGAGGTGGTCCTTACCTAGCGTTGCCCCTCGGCAGTGCTGAGGGTCGCCTCTTGAGGCGCTCTCGGGGCGCTCGTGGGGCGCTCTTGGGGCCGTCGTGGGGCTCAATTGGACATCGTGTTGGGGCCCTCTTTGGCCATCTTGTGGCCATCTTGCAGCCTCGGATGGCGATCGGAAGCGAAAGGTCTAGAAAGCAAACAGCATTGATCACCTTGAGCGTTTGACGGGGTCTGGCCTCTTCGGGCCCCCTTGAGGGGCTCGTTGGCCATTGGGGGCCGCCTTGGAACATTCTTGGGAGCTGTTGGGCCATCGTGGGGGGCATCTTAAGGCATCTTACGCTATCTCGGGCCATCTTGGAAGTCATATTGCACTCCCTAAGGCCATCTTGGATCCGTCTTGGGCCATCTCGGGCGCTCTAACTACCCGCGAGCGGCCCCGTCCAGGCCCAGTGGAGGGGGGGGGGGGGAAGGGGCACACCCACGCCCGATGGAGAGAGGAAGTGCGTTGGAAGAGGGAACGCCCACGACTTCCTACGCCCAGAGGGCGGGTCGGATTGATGAGTGACTTCAAACGTCTGGCTTGGAGATACGTCAAACACTGGGTGGACAACACTCAGCAGCGAATTTTGTTCGACAGTATGGCATGCGATTCGGTGATTGGGCAATTGCCGCACGCAACTGTGGCATCGATTAACAGACGCAGTGATTGTGTCCGAGCAACTCACCAGCCGCTATACATGGCAACTTTGAAAGCGGTACCAGGCTACGTCCCAGCAAGTGGGTTTACCGCGCCCGATGCGCTTCAACCATTACATGGTGGAAAGGACTTGGTGGTGAGACTCAACACGAACGGGCCGTTCAACCCTTCGGAATTCGAGAGCAGCGATGGAAGTTTCGACTTGATCAGCCTTTGTCAGGCTGCCACGGTGCGTGGATGTAAAGTTCTGTTCCCTTGTCAATGGGATGGCGGTTTGTGCCACGGCTGCGCACTTGGCGTTCTTGCCAATCTGGAGTCAAGTGACATTCCTAGGGGTCCAAGGCCGCACGCGCTCAGGCAGGCAGAGCTTCGATCCATGGGCGGGCAGGTGGGCACGTACGCAGACTTTTGGCACCACGCGCACGATAAGCAGGTTGAAAAGCTCATGAATGGACTGTGGGAGAAGATTCATTCTGTGCCAGATTTTGCTGCCCAGTTCCCCATCGACTATATGCAGCCGACGGTCAACGTGAATGCAGCGATTATGTGGATGTTTGCGACTGTGGTGCCAGCTTATGCGTATGCGACACAGTGATGAGAATTATACTCTACTCATCTCGTGGCAGAGCGTGCATTGGTGGGCATTATACTCAACTTACCACGTGGCAACGGCTGGGTGCATGCGGTGACTGCCGACAGGCAATGCGATGGGACCTCGTCCTCGCTGGTAGACGACTTGCCGAGCCAGCTCTCGTGAGACATGGAATCCTGGGGCGCGGGCTGCCGCGGATGACAACCCTCCTCATCCTCCCGATCCGTCGTCGTCCTGTCTTCTGTCATCGGGCACCCTTGGCCTTCAAAGGCCCACGATCCCCAAACAGTTGGTTTCCTTTTTGGCCCCTAATGCCCCAATATCCCCGATCCGCAATGCCCCTTGGCACCCAAGCGCCCACAGGATCCTGAGGCCCCCATGGGCCTTGGGGCCCTCTTGGGGCCCTCGAAAGCAATCGCGGGCCGTGGGCCCCCATCGGGCCCAGGACGCTATTAAATGCAAGCGCCGAGGGCGAGAGGGAAAGGATATCATATAGGAAGGAGGGGTAGGGATATGGATATGAGAAGGGCATGGGGCGAGGGGATATGGATAGGAGGGGTAGGGGCAGGGATCGGAGGGAGGGGGAAACGGAGAAGGAGAAGGGAAACTGGAGGATAGGACAGGGAGGGACCAATGGAGGGATAGGGTTACGAGAAGGAAGGAAACTTGATGATATGGGGGTCGGTGACATGGATAAGGGTAGGGACAGGAGGGATAGTGATAGAAAGGGCAGGGGTATGGATAGGGATAGGGGATAGGGCTCAGAAGGAGGGTTGATCGGAGGATAAGGATAAGGATGGGTGGGGCAGGGATGGCAGGAATGAGGAGAAGGAGGAGTATGAGGAGGAGGAGGCGGATGACGAGGGCACAGATGGGAGGAGGAGGGGGAGGAGGAGGAAGAAGGAGGAGAAGGAGGGGGGGAGGGGGAGGAGGAGGAGGAGGAGGAGGAGGCGGGGGAGGAGGAGGAGGAGGAGGACCCCGCCCCAATCCTCGTCCGTGGTGCAGCGGTCTTCGTCGGTGCGGTCGGCTCTGTCCGAGCTGTCCGAGCTGCCGTCGTCGGTGTCGGCCTCGTCGCGCTCGGAGCCTTCCGAGACGCCATCGCCGACCTCGTCCAAGATAGCGGCGGCGTCGGCAGCGCCTCGCCCGCGGCCGCGAGCACCGCCGCCATCGCAACCGTCGCCGCCGCGCCCTCGCCCGCGACGGCCTCCTGCAGCGCCTCGCCCGCGGCCGCGAGCACCGCCGCCGTCGCAGCCGCCGCCGCCGCGCCCTCGCCCGCGGCGGCCCCCTGGAGGGCCTCGCCCTCGGCCCCGCCCACCGCCGCCAGCGGCGTCGTCGTCGCCGCCGCGCTCCCCTCCGCGGCCCCGCCCGCGGCGACGCGGTGGGCGGGGCGCGGGCGGCCAAACGTCGAAGGAGTTCACCTCGGCGACCAACTCCTTCACGAGCACAACTCCTGGCACGAAGATGGCGAGGGGCCTCCTGTGCCGACAGAGCTCGTAGAAGCTCGCGCGCCACTTCACGTTTCCCTCAAAGGTGGCCGCCCACTTCTCCCCAGAGAGCCACTCACCAGATGCCTGCAGCGAACGCGCATCGCGGGCATACCGAACTGATTGGTCCAATCGGTTCACGCTCTCACCCCGCCCTCCAAATTGACTTCAACTGAAAACCCCCCAGACGGAGGAGGAGGAGGAGGAGCGGGAGGGGGAGGAGGTGGAGGAGCCCCCCGCACGCCACCTCCCCCTCCTCCCCCTTCTCCCCCCCCTCATCCTCCTCCTCTTCCTTCTCCTCCCCCGCCTCCTCCACCGTCGCCCCCCCGAGGGCTGGCGCCCCCGCCGAACCCGCGCCGACTGTGGGCACGAAGGGCTGCGCGTCAATTCATGGCTCGATGGGGGTGCGAGCGACCACCGATCGAGCCAGTCCGTCTGGGTTGCCCGCGCGGCGTCCCGCTGACGCCTTCAGCGCCACCTCGTCGCCCTGAGGGTTGGCCGTCATGGCCTCGTCTGCATCTGGAACGTGCATCAGCTGCGCCATCGGCTCGAAAGGGCTCAGCGACATGCACGACACGTGCCACCACCTAATGTCGACGTCGAGGCCCCGGAACTCCGCCAACTCGGCGCTGTCGCCGTCGCCGATGACATCACACTCGAAGCGAATGATGATCTCGCCGTCCTTCAAGGCCCGGCGCTTCTTGCGGTCGAGGTCTCTCGGACAAGCCCTCTTGATTGCCAGCGACATTGAATTCTTAAACTGGTTCGTCGTCCTGCCACGCTCGCCACAACAACAATAACCAACTTTCCAACAACATCCGCGTGTCGTCTCTAGGTCCTCATCAGAAGATGCACGCGCGTCCTCCGCCTCGTCAGCCATACTGCGATGCAGATACTTCCAGTGATCCGAAATACTCTTCATCAGGTTTGAGCTCTTGGCACCAATGTCCCTGAGATAAGCAACCATGTCGACGGCGTCGCGCGAAGACGCAGCGTTATCCGGCTGTAGTGCTCGGACGCCACCCGCGGGGCCAGGAACTGCAGCGAGGCCCGATGCTGCCCGAAAATCGCTACTGCCAGATGCGAGGTCATCAACCCAATCGTCGGTGTGCGTGCGCGCGAACTCCTCAATGTCACGACCGTCCTTCTTTTCGGCATCGCGCCTCAATGCTCTCGACCTCTGCCTGGTCCTCTTAATCATGTCGAGCGTCTCCTCCGTCGTGTTGCCGTGGAGTTGGGCTTCCGCAATGACCTGGCCAATTGCAGCTCTGCCGTCACCATCTGGATTGGCTGTCGCTCTCAACTGCAAGCTCTTCTTGAACCTTGCCCGCTCCACCTCTGCGCGAGACGGCCCGAACGAGTTCCCCTTGCGGCCCTGTCCCCTCGCCTGCGTCGCCAGCTGGCCGAGGCGCACGCACTCGCCCAGAAGCTCCGACCCGACGGTGTTCTTCAGTGCCCTGTACAACCTGCCTGCCTCCGCCAAGTCCCGTGACCCGTGATGCCTAACGAATGCCCTCCATGCGCCACCGCCGCCCCCTCGGAGGTCTGGTTTAGGGTCACCGTCGTCGCCGCCGTCGGCATCGCGACCGACAGAATCGGCAGCCTGCGAAAACTCGAAGCGATGAGCTCGAACTGTCGAGGATACCCATCTGCTGCTGATGTCGATGCCGTCGGGCTGCGGGCACTGCACGTGCCGCGCGACAATGCGCCTGATGTGGCTGTTCGATACCTCCAATCGGTCAGTGTTGGTGTAAATAACCATCGCATGAACTAAGAGCCGCACCATGGCGTCCTCGGTGGTGAGATCGTTCTCCTGGAGGAACTTGGACGACCACGGATCCAGCATGCACCGAGGGGTGTTCTGGATGTCTGGCGCAAGTTCGGGCTGCAAAAGCACGAGACACAACCTGAACGGGGCCAGCTCATGGGGCGTCGCGATCAATTTCTGGACCAAGGCACCCGCAGCAGAGATGCCAGTAAAGACGTCGGCCTTCAACCTGTTGTTCATCTCGGCCTCGCGCACTAAGCACCACAACCTGCTGTCGAAGAAGAGCGCTCGCATGCGCATGAAGGCCTTGAGCTCTAGCTGTCCACGAGCGTGGACGAGGATGCTGTAGTCCCTGAGAAGGCTGCCGTTGTCGCCGCTGGCGTAGCGCCTGGCTGCGATTGCATTCTGCTTGCGCTCCCACCTCTTGGACCCAATCCACAATTCTTCCGACTGCATACTCTGGATCACGCTGACGATCAGCTTCAGAACAACCACCTCCGCGCACGGCGGCGTTCCCGAGCAGCCGCGCAACCAGTCCAAGGCTATCTTCCGCTTCCTGGCGACTTCTCGAGCCCATATCGCGATGGGCGCCTGTCCTCGAGGATCCCCGTCGTCCTCCTCGCGCTGCACGCGCGCCGCATCGTCGCCCTCCCCGTCGGCGATAGCCAGCATGCCAGGATGGGCAGGGGCTCGGTGGGCGGCCTGGCCCAACACGACCGCCACGTCTCCGTGAGTCGCGCCCTTCCGAACGCGGTGACAAAAGAGCCTGTACGCATGAACGAGAGTGTTCCCCAGAAGGAGCGGGACAGCGAACTCGCAGCACGCCTCATCGGCACCCATCGATTTCTTCCGCTGGTAGAGTCTGAAGTTCTTATGGGCAATTGCCTGTGCGATGCCCCCGGCGGCGGTGTCAAACAAACGGTCTCTGTCGTGTGCTACACCAGGTGGCACGTATATCTGAATACTGTCGCTATCCCAGTCACCAGTTGCCAACATATCTAGAAGAGCTCGCACAATGACGTGGTCCCCGCTCTTGGCAGAAATGAACCACTTGAGAATCAAGGCCTTCCGAAGTCTGGCAAGCGGCGGCGGCGGCGTCGATATGATCTCACACCGATGCCTGGTGATATCATTGAGGGAGTCTCGGAACAAGTCCATGTGGCCCTGGAAGTTCAAAGACAGCGCGAGGTTGATCATGCCAGTCATGCACTTCGAAAACCTCCACGTCGCGAGAACTCTCACTGTCTGAAGGAGGTGCTGCTCACAAGGGAAAAGCAACGCGCGAAACTGCGGGAAACGTCTCACCATTCTCCTGGCAATGCGCCTCTCTACCACCAAATTGGACGGATGTCTGTCAACGCTCGCAATCCTCGAAAATGGTTTGAACCTTACTTCTGGCAGTGACATGGGCGACGTCTCCTTCAACGCCTGCATAATGTACCCAGGTGTGTTCCTAGATAGCGCCTGTACGTGGCATGCCGTGGTGCCTGTGACTATGACGTACTGCTTCGTGCCGCAAGGCAACGCACGGGCGACGAGCATGGCGAACTGCTGCTGCGTCTAGAACAGCTTAGTCGGTAGGGCACCACGGTTCATCGGTAGCAACGTCAGTATGCGTTCTGGAATAGCCACCGAGGAATCGACCACTTTTCCTGACGCGCTCCGAGTTGCCCCTGGTCTTCAGCGGCGTCCCGTCGTAGCCAACAGAATCCACGAACTGCAAAGCTTCAACGCCGCGGCATGTCGCCGCGACGCGGGCGAGAATGCGGTGCCTGCCGCGATCGGCCAGCCACGTCGCAGCCGCCAGCAAAGGACCCACCTGATGAGCAACATTGCGGCCCACGCCCGACCACGCACTTCTCGCCCGCTCCGACGAGAACGCCAGATCCACGCCAGCATCTGTGAAAAGCAAATCGCCAACAGCAACTGCGGCCTCGCCCTCGAAATTGTCTAGCACACCACGTGCCCGACACAACTGCGTACACTCCATGGATCTGTCAATCAACGGCGGCACCTCGATGAACGATCCAGCGCGAAGAGCCTCCTGCATTACATTCCGCTGCATAAATAGGCGAGCCCGAAAACGGGCTTCCTCCTCTCTGATATCCCGTCTCCTCTTTTTAGCCTGCAGCGCCGCCTCGCGGGCGACCGCGAGATCACCGCGCCGACGGACAAGGGGCGCGGCCGCCTCCGCCATGCGCGAGGCGGCGCAACTGCACGGGGAAAGGAGTACGAGGGGAAATAAGAGGAGGAATGAGGACGTGGAGGAGGGGACGGAGGCGGAGGGGAGGTCATGAAGGAGGAGGGGGGCGGGAGGAAGAGGGGGGCCCGCGCTCGGCGGGCGCGGGGCCCGAACCAAAACGGCCACCCACGGAACATAAATATAACAGTCGAACCCTTGCGACGGTGTAAGAGCTCTGGTGCGATGATTCGCGCGCCGTGCTGGACAACCGAACAATTTGCTCAAGATATCCTCGCAATAATGGAAATCGGGCGCACCTCTCACGCAGATCGCAGCGTTAGCAGCCAAACGCATCAGGGTTGAAGACATGCTCTATGATACGCTGTCGTTGCGGGCGTCATCGGTCGTCGTCGTCTTCGTCGTCGTCGATGTCGCTCGCCGCAATCGTCGTCGCGTTCGTCGCTCGTCGCTCGCTGTCGAACGCCATTGCCGAATCCGTCGTCGCTCGTCGGCGTCGTCGACCGTCGACGTCGCAATCGGGCAAGGAGGAGGGGGTGCAACAGCAAGGGCGGAGGAAAAGGATGCAGCACCGAGGATGGAGGTGTCACTGTGACATCAACGCGGCGGCCTTGGATAAGGAACCCTTGGGTAAGGAATCCAGGGTCTGGAGGCTGGTGGAACTCCAATTGTGGATCGGCCGCGGGTATCGCCTCCGCCCTCATCAGATGAGGAATCCTCCAGAGTCTGAAGCCTCCTGGGCGAGAAAGGGAGGATAATGAGAGGGGGGGGAGGGGGAGGAGGGGGAGGAAGAGGAGGGGGAGGAGGAGAAGGAAGAGGAGGAGGAGGAGGAGAAGAGGTAGGAGGAGCGGAGGAGGGAAAGGAGGAGGAGGGGGGGGGGGGATCACGCGCGCTTTCGTTCCGCTAGCGCGGCCCACCGAGAGCCCGACGTGCCTAACGACGGCGCACCTTTTTTTTTGGCGCTAGCTCTTTTGGAGTATCCATTACCCGAAGATAAAAATCCCAGGAGGAGTATTTTTGGAGTATTATAGGCGTTATCCTGGATCTACAGAGTGAGGCCATGCCGTGCCATATAAACCTAGCATTTCACACGGTCCCGCATTTGCGTCCGACTCTGACGCCGAAGACCCAGCGGAGGTCCCAAAAGTGCCGCCAAGAGACCCCCGAGAGTCCTTCCAAGAGACCGCAAGAAGCAATCCAAAGAGGCGGCTTATCCGCGACCCAGTTTAGTTCCCACAGTGCTCCACGAAACTGTCGAGAGGCCTCCTCCTCATCCTCCTCCTCCTCCTCCTCCTCCTCCTCCTCCTCATCCTCCACCGCCACCGCCGCCACCGTCTCCTCATCCTCCTCCTCCTCCTCCGCCGCCGCCGCCGCCTCCTCCTCCTCCTCCTCCTCCTCATCCTCCTCCTCATCTTCCTCCTCCTCCTCCTCCTCCTCCTCCTCTTCATCATCATCGTCATCATCATCAGTATCCTCCTCCTCCCTCCTCCTCCTCCTCCTCCTCCTCCTCCTCTTTCTCTCCTCCTCCTCCACCTCCTCATTATCCTCCCCTCCTCCTCCTCCTCTTCCTCCTCCTCCTCCTCCTCCTCCTCCTCCTCCTCCAGCTCCTCCTCCTCGCCTCTCGAGCCCCATATCCTCCTTCTCGCCAGCCATGGGCACAACAGCATGGGCTGGCGGAATGAGCGAAGCGATAAAATATATCCCACCAGACCTCTGGGCTGAGTGGTTTAACGAATTGTTGCCAGTTCCCTGCCACAACCCCTCCTTCTCGTGCTCGGGGGAGGGGTTTACCCCTCCACCTACCCCTTCCGCTGGGCCTGGGAGGGGGAGGGGACGGAGCCGTCAGAGCGCCCAAGATGTCCCGAGATGGCTCCAAGAGGGCCCAAGACAGCCCAAGAGGACCTCCAAGATGGCTCAAGATACCTCAACATCGCTCAAGGTAGCCTCTGACAAGCCTCCAAGACACCCCAAGACAGCCCCAAGAGGGTTCCAAGTGCCACTCCCGCCTCCCAGGGCACCTCCCAAGAGGCCGAAATCATTCAAAAACCTAAGGAAACGCAAGGTTGGTTGGCTTCTCGTTTTTTCGATGCCGATGAGCTTCTTGGGCCTCAAGATGGCTCCAAGATTGCACTAGAGAGGCCCCAGGATGGCCCAAGACTGACCCAAGACGGCCCCAAGAGCGCCCAAGAGGCGCCCAAGAGCGGCCCAAGAAGCCCCCAAGAGGCCATCTTGGAGCTTTCGAAGGGGGGACCTAAATTGATTCCCCCCTTTTTGATCGATCTCGTCCAAGATGGCCCCAAGAGAGCCCAAAGAGCGCCCAAGACGACCCCAAGAGGCCCCCCAGACCCCACCAAAGAACCCCAAGAGGGCCCCATGGACCCCCCAAAAGAGCCCCAATAGGGCCCCAGAAGTGCCCCAAGTGGTTTTGCGAGGACCCCAAAAGAGACCCAAGACGGCTCCGAGCGACCTCCGAGAAAACACTTCCAGGGCGGTTGTTACACTGCGCGTTTCTACACTTCCCTGATCAGGGCAACTCGCCTGCTTTCTGATGTGTGCACCACCAAACCTCTGCCAGCGTCTGCATAAAACTGCGCGAATTCTTCGAGGGGAACAGCCCCCCGTAGTTCAGGATGTCGCGACAGAGGCTGCACATGCGCCGCACCTCGTCCTCCCCGATGGTGGAGTTCGCCGCGTTCGTCCGCAGCCAGCGCTTGAACAGCTCGCAGACGCGCGTGCGCGGGTCGTGCCTGTAAGACTTCCGCATGGACATGAACCCGCAGCCGTTCGCTCGGCGGTCCCGCTGGTAGGTGAGGATCACGTCGAGGGCGGCCACCAGGTGGGCATGCTCGTATCTGGGAATGCCGCGTTCCAGGCTGGTGATGGTGAAGTCCTGCGTTTCGGCGATCTCGACGAGCGCAGGGTCCACGACGTGTTTGGTGACGAGGCTCTGCAGCGTCGCGAGCTGATTGCGTTTCCTGGCGCCGATGCCGAGGGCGCCCGCGGCCTTCTTGCTCCTGGACGGGGCCACGGCGGCCACGGGCGCGGCGGCGACGGCCGCCGCCGCTTCCGCCATCGCGCCGCGAGGGCGCCCGAGCCCTGATAAGCAGACCCGCCCCCGACTTCCGACCTCCCCCCGGATCCAGGGCGCTGCCTTCGTGCTCCAGCTCAGGCGTGCTTTCGCTCGGCGTTTGGCCACCGGGGGTAAAGAAAGCGTGAGCCCCAGGACACCCAACCTCGCGCTGAAGGCACGGCGGCGGATACCATCGAGAAGTTTGTCATATGTATGTAGATATATGGGTGTATGTATGTCCATATATATATATATACACCTATATATCCGCCGGCCCCCTTGTGGGGCCACCAGGCTGTAGGCCCGTGATTCGCAGTTTCCTGTACCAGTTGTAGTTTGTAGTTTCCAGTGTTACAGTTCTGCTTCTTGCTGGTTACTGTAACTAGTTGATTGACCGCGCGAGGGGAGGGAGGCCCAAACCAGATTTTTAGCACCACCTGGGCGCGTTGTCTGAATTGCTGGGGGGGCTCGAAATCGACACCCCTCACGCAGATCCGCGGGGTCAGGGTCCAAAAACACATGGGATTTGCCACATTTTTGAAATTCGGTGCCACCCCTCACGCAGATCCGCGGGGTCAGGGTCCAAAAACACAGGGGATTTGCCACATTTCTGAAATTCGGTGCCACCCCTCACGCAGATCCGCGGGGTCAGGGTCCAAAAACACAGAGATTTGCCACATTTCTGAAATTCGGTGCCACCCCTCACGCAGACCCGCGGGGTCAGGGTCCAAAAACACAGGGGATTTGGCACATTTCTGAAATTCGGTGCCACCCCTCACGCACATCCATCGCAAGGCGTGGTAACCCAAACTGCGAGTACTCCCTCGGCCCTTTAATCCCAAGGTGTGGTAACCAAGCTCGTAAACCATACACGTCTTACCAATCGCCCTGTGTGGTAACCCCTCTTGTGATCAGTTGGTTTTGCCGATTGCGAATCGGCCTCGCATGAAGTTCCGATACTGCTGCACGACAGCGCCAAAGCCTCATGACTTAGCTCTTCCATGGCCCATTCTCCGAGAGAGGGGGCCGGCGGCAGGGGGCGAAGCCCTTACGGATAAATGTATATGTGTGTATGTCCATGCATACATACATACGTACATACGTACATACGTAAATACGTACATACGTACGTACGTACGTACTACGTACGAACGTATGTACTTACGTACGTACGTACGTACGTACGTACGTACATACGTACATACGTACATACGTACATACATACATACATACATACATACATACATACATACATGCATGCATGCATGCATGCATGCATACATACATACATACATACATACATACATGCATACATGTTCCTATTCCTATTCCTACTCCGATATGTCTATTACCCGGAAGCCCCCCACCCACCCACCCGGCACCCACAACCCCCCCACCACTAAACCGGACCCCCACAGGGACGCCCCGGACGCCCTTTCGGATTTCTCGGCGGCCCCCTGGACGCCCTTGGAAAAGGTCCGCTGGCCTCTCCGGGCCTCCCAACGGACCTTGCTGGGCCGCGCGAGCGGACTCAAGGCGATCAGAGGGGTCATCGGGGAGGCACAAGAGAGACTCAAGACAGCACAACAGCGCACCAAGAGGAACCTCGATGGTCCGAAGACGGCCCAAGAGGCCCCCAAGACGCCCCAAGAGGCCGTTACGCGAGCCCCGAAAAAGCAAAAATCCGCCGACTCCTTGTAGGTCTCCAGGCGTGGGAAAGTGTTCCCCCCCATGACCCCCCCCCAGGGACCCCAAACTGGGAATTTGACCCCCCCCATGGCCGCGCGCGACCCACCCCCGAACTCATCGGGGGGAACCTGGCCCACCCAGATTTTTTTTCCGGCTCCGAGCCGCCTCCCAAGAGGCCTCCAAGACGGCGCTCAAGGGCCCCCAGACGCCCAGAGATCGCCCCAAGACGCCCCAGATTGACCCAAGAGGCCGCCAACACGCCCCAAGAGACGCCCAAGAAGCTGCCCAAGAGCGCACGACGAGACAAAACCAGTTTTTCCATTGGTCTGTCCAGGTTCGTTGGCCTCTCGCGTTCTCCTTTTCCCGACGATCCAAGACGCCCCAACAAGGGCCCAACATCGCCCCAGCATAGCCCACGAGGCTCGCAAGACGGCCCAAGAGGGCCCCGAAACAGCTCCAGACGCTTCCAAGACGACCCAAGAGACCACAGAAACGGCTGCAACACGGGGCCCAGACGGGACGCCCGAACGGAGATCTCGGGCCTTCGGCCCCAAGATGCCCCAAGAGACACCCAACGCTGCCCCGAGAGGCCCCAACAAGCCTGAACCAGGCCCACGACAAGCACCCCAGAGCGTCAAAAGGTGCCCAACCGCCCAGAGACTCCCGAAACGCCTGCCAAGAAATCCCCACCAACGCCGCATCGACAACGACCCCTCGGGCAAACAGCGGAGATGAAGCTACATGGGCCGGCGGAATGAGCGAAGCGATTAGATAAACACACACAACTCCCAGGACTCTTCACATTTTCCTAGATTTTCTGGGGTTTCGTCTTCCCGCCCATTTCCAATATTTCCCCACATCTTCCTGGGAGTCGACGATTACGCGTGCCTGCGTGTTTCCCCCCTCCTCAATTCAACGGCGGCTACACTTCCGGAGCTCCGCACGGAGTTCTCGGATCGGCGCTGATCCCCCTTGGCGGCGCCTCTGGCGCCGCCACTGGCGCGCCCCGCGGGCCAGGGAGGGGGGGTCCAGCGCCGACCCGAGAAATCCGCGCAGACCTCCAAACGTTTGTCTTTATGCAGCTGTTCTTCGTCGACGTTTCCGGCCCTGGCTTTTCACCCCGACCGCTTGTCTGAAGGCCCTGGGGCCCCTGGAAAGCTCCAGGAGCCCGATAGCCGCGGGAGAAGCTCCGGGACCACTTTCCTCCAGGATTCCTCGTTTTCCGTGGCGTCATCGAAAGAATCCGTTCCCTGGGCTGACTCAGGTTGCGCTTTGATTGGAATCATCCGCGGCGAATCCGGCCGTGACGACGAGAAGTCTCCCGGAGGCATGAAAAGGCTTAAAGGACCAAATGACCACAGCAAAGCACCCAATAGCAGCAGAGGTGAGGAGGATCGAGGAGGGGGAGAAGGAGAAGGAGGAGGAGGAGGAAGAAGAAGAGGAGGAGGAGGAAGAGGCACAGCATTCCCGGGGGTCTGTCTGTCTTAGCCCTTGCGGAGTTCCGCGACCCGCCGCCGCGGCATTCCAGTGTCGAGGAATTTGGGCTGGCGGCTGCGGAAGGGTAGGCGGACCGCGACTCTCGCGGGGGCCTGAAGCGCCGCGGCCTCGGCAAGGGATCACTGCCGACCGAGTCTCCCTGCACGGGCCGCGCGAAGCGGAAGAAATGGTAGAGAACAATGACGAAGACAAAATCTCGTCGGAGGCCGAGGCTGGCAAGGACGGAAGGGGGAAGGTCAGCTCGGAGGAAGGAGGCGACGTGGAAGTGGCGACGGCGGCAGAGGCACACATAGTGCGTCGTCGACCCCACCTCCTCACACCCCAGAACGCACTGCTGCACACGTTGCATCCGCGCGCTTGTGATCCAGACCTCGAGCCACGTCCGAAGCAAAATTGGCGGCCAGGAGGGCGGGAGGCCCTTCATCCGCTCTCGAATCGAGCTCCAATCCACATAATTCTCCGAGAGCGACGGGAGGAACCACTTGCGTAAACGGCGCATCAGAAGCTCTTCCAGGGAAAGCGAGAAGATTGCTGCGTGCAGTTCTTCGGCGAAAACGCGCTGCCACTTCATTCGAGAGACCGACGACCTGTCCGGGAACCGACCCACCGCCCTCCGCCCGCCCTCGCGAAGCCGTCGGTCCTCGGGGAAGCCTGCCGCCGCCGCCTCCATAAATGGCACGATGGGCGGAGACCGCCAAAAGGGCGGGGCGAAGAGAGGGGAGGCCCACAACGCCATCGGGCAGTGGTCGATGAGACCCTCTCGGAGCAGGCGGAGAGTGGACGGCCAATGGGGGGGCGACGAGAGCGGTGCGCATAGCGGCGGCAGCGGCAGCGATGCACAGCGAGCGCACTCTGGGCCCCTGCCACTCTCTGCGGCTGAACCAGCCCAAGTACCTCTTGGCCGACACAAGCCACTTAAAAATCTGAGCCAGAAAAAGTGACGTTCGATTTTGGCAACATCCCAAGGGATCGGCACCGACTGCGAGATATACGATGGGATAGAAAGAGCACGCTGGGAGTAAAGAAGAACCCCCGTCGGCAAGTCATGCCTGACGTCAGCGACGGTTCTGGCCCGAACGGCCATTTCGTTGAGAGGAGTGCGAACACTGCGGAGAGCGTCGACTCCAGGACCCAGCCAAAATCCCAAGTACAAGACCTCCGACGCGACTTCGAACTCCTCCAAGCACGCGGAACAAGGCGGGAGCGTGGCACCAGGACGGCGGCGAGAACAATCACGAAGCAGAACGCGGATTCCCTGTTCGAGATCGTCGGCCAGAGGAGCTCGCAAGGGGGCCTTAAACTCAGTCCCGCGAGATGCTCGGCGCTTCGAAAGACGCGGGGGACCTCGCGATAGCCTCTGCGGGAGACGAGGGCCGCTCCTACGTCATCCGCGCACGCTCTGATCTGCCCGCGATGAGGCAGTTGCACGCTACGACACACGCCCCAAAGAAAGCTATCCATAGCGATGACGAAGAGGCCCCTGCTGAGCGGGCAACCTTGCAGGACTCCTGAGATCATACAGAAGAGGTGGGGATGGGAGCCTCGAACGGAGAGGAGGCAAGGGCTGAGATGGTAGAAGCCCTGGACCGCAAGGAGGCAACCGCGAGGGATCCTGATTTGCTGCAATGCGAGCATGAGCCACTGCTGATTGACCGAGGGGAACGCTTGCGCGAAGCCGAAGGCTAGGATAGCACCCTCGGAGGCCCCGCGGGCACTGGTCAGCCTCGCGTGGGCGTCGAGTTCGCAAACGCTCGTCAAAAAGTTGCGGTCTCGGATAGAACCACGCTGCACGGGGGCGCCAATGTCTTTGACGACCTCGGACAACCCAGCATCGGCGACCCCAGCC